GAAATTAAGGAGAAGTAATAAAAGCTTGCATGTAACTCCCAACTAATAAGCCATTTAAGTTTTGCTAACCCAGAAAGAGCATCATGGAGAAAAGATGATATAGAGAAAATAAATGAAGTTGTTGGTTATCTATTAAATGCATTGTTTTTTAAATTAAAGAGAAGGCTTACAAAAGACTCTCCAAACATCTGAGTCATAATATGCTGCAAATTCAGACAATAAAGATTTAGTATTTGTGCATTAATGCTCACTGAACACCATTTTTGTGACTGAGGAGAATGGTACAAAAATGCCTTATAGCTTGATGTCATTCTTCGGGTTTAGAGCAACAAATTTTGTAATGCAGGAAAGACATATGAGGCTGGAGGTACATGAAGCATTTGCTTCAGCATTTATTGTGCTAGAGAGCGAGGTGCCATTAATGAAAGAAAGAAAGAAAGAAAAAGCATTTATTAAGCACTTGCTATGTGACAGGCACTGTGTTAAGGCATTAAGAGGGCATGTCAAAGAGCTAGGACTTCTTGAGTTCGATTTCCATTCTTTCTAAATGACCCAGAAAACGCCACGTGTTCAGTAGGAAATGATGCTGACTCCTCTCCTTCGGATAGACTACTGGATATGACCCAGATTCAAATCCATTCTCAGACACTTACTAGCTGCATGGCCCCAGACAAGTCACTTAACCTCCATCTGCCTCAGTTTCCTCATTTATAAAACGGGGATAAAAGCACCCATGGTTGTTGTGACAATAAAATGAGATAACATTTATAAAGTGCTTTGCAAATCTTAAAGCACTAGATAAATATTAGCTATTGTTATCGTGCATACTAACATTACTATCAAACATTAGAAATGTAATGCAGTTAATCTAGAAAAATCTAGAAAATGAGAAGCTTTTAAAAATAGGAATAGTGGTAAAGTTATGCCTGGATGAATAGTTTCCTATCTATTATTCTACTTCCCCAAAATAGTATATTTATAAAGAGAGGTTACAGAAAAGCATTATGAGGTAACTACATAGTTTAATTTTACTTCTTGCCTTTTCAAATAAATACATTGCTTTTCAAAATAAGTGAGAAAAAAACTTCATTATAAAATCAGAATCAATACAAGGTGATTGAAGAAACGAGTTTGGTGGGATTGGTTCTTTTTTTTTTTTTAAGCATCTTCCTGTATAAAACATAATTCTACTTCTTAATACAAAAAGGAACTTTTAACAAAAAGGGAGGCATAGAAGTGGCTTAAATTCAGGATCTGCCAGTTCAGTAGCTGACCTCTCTTTTTCCTCATTACCTCCTCTATTCAACTTTCCAGGTACTTCACCTCCCTAAGTGCATGAGGTAGGGGGGCAGCTAGCTTAGGGTTCAGCTACTAATAGGAAGTATATATTCAATTCAACAACTATGTCTTTTTTTATCCTATGAGTGTACCAAGAACTATGCTGGGGGAGATACGAAATTTAGACGTGATACAGAGCCTGTTTTTGTGGAAGTACTAATAGGATTATATGATACTTTTACTTCAGTGATTCAAGTTTCCTTGAAGTTCCAGCTAAAATCTTAACTTCTACAAGAAGACTTTTTCTATCTACTTTAATTCTAATGTCTTCTTTCTGTTGGTTATTCTATTTTATCCTCTACATAGCATATTTGTACAGAGTTGTCTGCCTGATTAGAATATGAGCTCCTTGAGAGCAGGGACTGTTTTTTGCCTTTCTTTGTATCTTCAGAGCTTAGCACAGTACCTTTCATACAGTAGGTGCTTAATGGATGTTTACTGACTTGGCATCAGTATGAGGTTTTCCCTACAATTCTCCAAGTTCAAACTGCAACTTCTCCAAGTCTCCCTGTAAGGAGCTAGCTTGATGAGTTGTTACGGCCATAAAACAAAACAGTCATCCTTTATAATAAGCCTTCCTAACCTCAGGCAACAGATATGGAATCTATCATCAGACCTCTGATCTTGGACTTCACTTGCATGACCTTTGGTAACTTAGGGTCACCTGGATACCACAATGAAATATTGAGTAGGGATTTATCAGAGGGAAACAAAACAAGAACCCTAATTAAATAACACATGATAACAAAGTGCTATTTGCCTTCTGAGTAGGTAAATATTATTATTAGCTTGGTGTCCTTGACCCATGGAACTTCTGGCCACTGTTACTAAGCTCCTTCTTCATCCCTAGTGTCTTAAAGTTGTTTTCTTGCTTGCTTTACTCTGTATGCCTCCTTCCTCCAGGTATCTGTTTTGTGTTTATCAGGATCTTGGACCACAAGCCTTGTTTTCTCTGTTAGCTTCTGCAAATGTTTCGGTTCTTTATTGCCTAGAATATGAGACTTTTAGCCCTGGTCTGTCCCCCAAGATTTGTGCCCTATTCATTCTTTTCAACCGACCTGACGTTTGTCCAACTTTCCCATTTGCATTGTCCCTGACTCATCTACCCAGCACATAACCTTGTTCTTACCCCTGCATGTCTGTCCCCTGACATCTTCCTTCAGTTTTCTTCAATTCCTGATTCCATGCCTTGTGTCTATAATTCTCTGCCACCCACATATGTGTATGATAATGGTGACATACAGGAGCCGATCAGGAGCTGCTCCATTATCTCAGCAAAATAAAATGCCCAGCAAGAGGCCAGAGCCTGTGACAGAAGGAGTGCTCTATAGGATCCAACACCCCTCCCCATGTTTCTCCCTCCCCCACCCAGCTATAACATTAACAACTAAGGATGGGCAAATTCACAAAAGGCAATAAAGTGGGAAAGGAAAAGCAACATGTGATCATCCTATCAGTCAAGTCCTGTTAATTCATCTCTGTAATACTGCTTATCTCCAGCCCTTCTTTATCATTCATTCTCACTGCCACAACACTAGTTCAAGCCCTTGTTAACTTTCATTTTGGTTCAAAGGACCTGGGTTAAAAATCTGGCTTTGCTAGTGATAACCTATGTGACCTTGGGCAAATCACTTAAACTCTCTGGGTCGCACTTTTTTCATTTGCAAAATGAGGTGTGTTGGACAGATGATCTCTAAGGTCCTTTACAGCTCTAAGTCTTCTTCATTTGTAAAGAGAATCTGTTTTTATAAACTCATAGCTTTCCTATAAGAATCAAATGGAAATGAAAAGGCTTTCTAAATTATGTACAAGCCAATGAATGGTATCAGTAGTATCTATGCAGCACTTAATTCTGTAAAAAATTAATTTAGTCTGCTAACCAGGCTAGTCAGTGGTGATTTTTTTTTGTTCCTTTGAATCAGCCAACCCAATTGGTAGTTTAAGCACCACAGATACAACCTTGTGAATTTGATTGCCAGACAAGAAGTAACGTGGTGCAGTGTGGAAAGAGCAGTGAACTCAGAGTCACAAAATCTGAGTTCAGATGCTGCCTCAGAGTCACAAGATCTGAGCTCAGATGCTTATTCCATTTGTCACCTTGCACAAGTCACTTAATTCCCCTGGACTTCAGTGTCCTGATGTATAAAATGAGATTAGACTAGATGGCTCTTAGGTACTCTTCCAGCTTCAGATATATGGTCCCTGTCTACCAACCCTACTCTTTTCCTAAGTAAGGTCAGTGGAAGTGTCATTAGCAAATGACAGCTACATAATGATGAGCTCACGTTTCCATTAAAGGTTAATTTAAAAAAATGAATTCATTAGAACTGTGCAGTTCTCAAGAGTAAGCATTATGAGTAATAAAACTAACATTCAACAGACATATAAAAGCATTAAATGCAGAATACTGTGCTTAATGAGAGCGATTCAAGGGTAAAAAAAAATAGTCTGTAATTTAAAAGAGCTTGTGGTCAGGTATGAAAAATTATACTTCCCCCACACACACCCCTGAACAGGATTAGCGTTTATAAGAAGAACAAAAAGATGTACAAACAAAATGTCTGGACAGTTCAAAGGAGGAAAAGATTATTTCTAGCAGTGGGACCAGAAAAATTCTTATGGAGAAAGTGATATTTCATTTGGATTTTCTTGATTGGTAATCAAGATTCAGACAGATAGATATGGATGGTTTAAGGCTTCTGGGAATAGGTAGTTATGAATGAATAAGAAATAATGAAATGTGTTTCTAGAGAATAGTGAGTAAGTGATCCAGTTTGGCTGGAAAACAACATGTAGATGAAAGGGAGTAGTGGGATATAAGCCTGGAAAGGAAGAATGAGGTCAGACTATAGAGAACCAGGGAGACCACAAACTGACAAAATTATGTCCTGGTTTCTACTCAGTTCCATTGAAATTTTTATGATAGCTGCAATTTATATAGCACATTAAGATTCACCAGATTTATGTGTTATGAGATTTATGTATTTGCAAATTTTATAAGCTTTATAAAATTTATGTTTGGTTGATAAATCAAAATAAATTAATAAAATTTAAAAAATAAAAATAAAAATTTTTTAAAAATTAAAAAAATAAAATTTATGTTTGGCATCCATCATCTCATTTGATTCACCATGACATCTCGTGATGTAGGTATTGTTGCACCTGTTTTTATAAATCGAAAGTCAGAGAAGTAAAATGATTTGCCCATGGTTACAGAACTAGTCAATTTTGTAGACAAGATTCAAAACCAGCTCTCTCCTAACCCTAAGTCCAGAGCTCTTTCCACTAAACCATTGAAGTTGGTCTTTCTTTAATTTCAGCAGAACGTTAGCTCCTAAAGAGCAGTGACCATTTTATTTTTTATCTTTATTTTCTTAGTACCAACCATAGTGCCTTGCACATTTTATATGCCTAATAAACATTTTTTGAGTTGCAATGACTGACTACTGAACTCAGACATTTGATAGAATATGATGAATTATTCTTCCTCTTGTCTTCTAATTTGGCTTCTTTAATCCCAACGTAGTAGTCTCGTGCTTCCAATTTTTCTTGGTTTGGTATTCTTATCCTGACCTCTGTTCTGAACCAGTTCAGATAAAAGTTATCTATAATGGAATTTGAAAACTTTATGTTTTGGTCTGTCAAGGGCAGGTAGAACTCACCTTCTACTTCAAGCATGACTAGTTTGGAATATGCTGTCCCGAGGCTATTTTTGGCCACACATCTGTAATGCCCCGCATCTTCTCTTTGAACATTGTGAATCCTTAAACTCCCAGATTCAAGAATCGCAATTCGGGCGTTTTCCTGTGAGAAACAGAAAAGAATTCTGTGTCACTTCATTAAAAGTCAGCTCTTAATGGCTTATGAGAACAGACTGTTAAATTTTCTGTTTGATCATTTATATCTCAGAAATCTACAAACGTTACAAAGTAGGACTTGATTTAATGTTTTCTTTATTGTCTAGACTTTTAAAAAAATGATGAACATGTTAGTAATGCAGATTAAACTTAAAAGTATGTATTTTTTCCCAGAGAATTGGTTGTATTCAATAACATTATGAGAAGTAACACAGAGAGCCACACTTTTTTGTGGGGTAGGCAAGGCCAGAAGGATGCTTGAACATTTGCTCTAGAACTAACTTTATTTTCATGATAATCAAAGAAGAACTTGTGAATGAGGTGCACTTCATTTCCCAGGCTATAGAAAGCTACTTAGAGGTTCCTGAGATAAGCTTTGAGGAAATAGTCTCACAATCAGAGAAATAACAGCATTTACAAGAAATATCCTAAATCTAAGTCCGATGCAGGACAATGCACTTTAATCATTACCAGATATAGGAAATAAAGAAGAATAGACTTAATCATAGCCTAGAATGTTCTGCCCACTTTTTGCTAGATGTCTGACTGGGTACGATTGCACTTTGCCATTGCCTTGATTAAACGAACTGTAGTTTTTCCTATCAAAAACTCTCTAGCTATTGCCCCCTAGCAGATGATAATAGAGAGAAGCAGATGGCCCTGGAGATGACAGATAGCTGATGACAAGCAGATGGTAGCAGAGAGCAACTCAGCGACCACGATACCAGTGAAGACAACAAGAGGAGAAAATGCATTGAAGAGCAAACAGGCAGTGCTCAACAGAGATGACACAACCAGCAAAGAAAAGCAAAGAGCTGCAGAAGGTCAACATCAGAGAAAACTGATAGCTTTGCAGTATTATGATGGGAGTTGCCTCAGACACACCACAAGCCTGTTCTCTGGATATACAGTCCTGGCACATGCCCCTTCTGTATTCTCTGGTGCACATGTTCCCTCTGGGTATGACTTCCAAGTTTGTTTTATGGTCACATTTATTTTTTGTACCCCATTGGTGGTTTGGTCACCTGAGGGACAGTATACAATGAGAGTAGACAGCTCCCCTGTCAATGGGTGAGCTAATTATTTTATTTGCTATGCTGTCTGATCAAATATGTTTTGCTTTGAACTAATGTGTCTTCTGGCTGGTAACAGTAAACATCCTTGTGGACTTGTATATTATGATTTTGAATGATTGCTATGTCACAATTAAAGCTGGGATAGCTTTTCAAGTGGCTTATTACCAAAGGTATAACAAAGCCTGGAGACATGAAAGATCTTATGAAATGCATATTTTTCTGCTAATTATTCACACAAGCTGGTCAATTTTTTTTTGTTTTTTTTGGCTAGGCGATGGGGTTAAGTGACTTGCCCAAGGTCACACAGCTAGTAAGTGTTATGTGTCTGAGGTCAGATTTGAACTCAGGTCCTTCTGAATTCAGGGCCAGTGCTCTATCCACTGCACCACCTAGCTGCCCCACAAGCTAGTCAATTTAAAAAAAAAAACAGATTAAAACCATTCATTTTCTATCCAAAATTTTTTTTTATTAAAAACTACATGGAAATAAGTAATTTAATTCAAGTCTTTCATTTTCCATTCATACCATTTAGCCCTCTCCAACCAAATCCTACACTGATGCTACATTACAGCATGGGGGTGAGCATGGGTTCTCAAATATTCTACCAAGGAGTACAGCAGGACATCCCTCTGGAGGAGAAAGGCTTTGAGTATGGGCTCAAAAGCAGGCTGTGTCTAGCCTAGCTAATTACAGAAAGACTCATCATCAGCAGGCTGGCCTATAGGCAATGGTTATGCTACAATGGAAAGAACATTAGTGCCAGGGTCTGAGGATCTTAGTCTAAATCCCAGCCTCTGACACTTAGTACTTGGGTGACCTTGAACAAACCACTTCACTACTTTCCATACAACCAGTTTGGGATATGCTGTTGCAAGGCTATTTTTGGCCTCACAGTGATAATATCCCATAAATAATGGGACTTTTGACAAGCCAGACTTACCCTTCCCAGATTTCAGTTTTTTCATCTGTAAAATTAGGGGTCATTGGAGATTGTCTTGGGGGTCCCTTTCAACTCTGAATCTAAAATCCTCTATTTCTTTATTTTTTTGAGGGGAGGGGGGCACAATGCAGGCCATGAAGCAAAGAAAATATAAAATGGCCTATTCTTTTCTATCTAGATTGACAGTGAGTAATGGAAGAGAGTGCTAAGGATCAGAGTTTTTTGATGACATTAATTTTGTTGTTCTCTAAGTGATAATCATCAATGATCTAGTTTTGGTGTGGTTGGAGCTGTCCTACATTTATGATGGCACCCTCTCTACAAGTTAAGTTAAAAGATATAAAGAAATTACAGCTAAATTAAAACAGCTTGTAGGTTCTCCTCAGACAGGCAAATAAAGGAGTTGGCAGAATTGGTTTTATCATGTACCCAAAGGCAATAAGAAATATCACTTCATGAACCACGTGGTCATCTCGCCTTGCAATACTCACCATGAACATAAACAGGCCCCAATGAAGATGATTGCTATTTATGCCCCAACAGCTGTTGCTGAAGATGAAGCGAAGACATTCTATGAGGAATTTGGCAAGCTCTTCCAAACAAAGTAAGCATATATCTTGAGTTTTTGTGACTTCAGTTTAACATTGGCCACAAGGAAGGGTGATGAAAAATAAGTTTAAAATGTTTCGAGGTTGAGAAGCAAAAGATGCCTAAGGCTTGCTGATTCCTCAGAGCCCTCATGACAATATAACATAAATACCTTCTTCAAGAACAGTCAGAAGACACAGAGTATGTCAAGCACTACAAACAACATCACAAATATCAAAATTGATTCTCTCATATGGAAAACTGTTTACTGATGGGGAGTCATTTCTGAATCCTGGTCTGTTAGAATAGACTCAGGGACAGAACCAGCCCCCACAGGTCACTGCACAGGGAGTGAGAACCATAGCACGTACTGCTTAGAACACTGAGTCCAAGCTTAGAGTCTATAGGATATGGAGTCTGCTTCTGCATTGATTCTCCCTGAACTATATTATCCACTGAACCCATAACTTGCCAGGGCATCTGACTGTCTCTGGTTGGTATCATCCAATTTGACACTCCAGGTTTCTATACCTAGATAGAGGAACAGTTAGATGGCACAATGAATAGAGTGCCAGGCCTGGAGTCAGGATGAGCTGTGTTCAAATCCAGCCTCAGGCACTTACTAGCTGTGTGACCCTGTACAAGTCACTTAACCCCATTTGCTTCAGTTTCCTCATCTATAAAATGAGCTGGAGAAGGAAACGGCAAATGGAGTCACAAAGAATCAGACATAACTGAAACTACTGAACACCACCCCCACCTAAATAGAACCGTTCTACATGCCCATCTTTATGGAATCACAATATTTCAGAGATGGAAGGGATCTCCAAGGTCATTAGTTCAACCTCTACATAGCCAACAGCTTCCACTACCGCCGCTCAAGTGGTCGGTCATTCAGCTTCACTTGAAAACACTAGTGAAGGGGAACACTAGTGAGCAACTCACTGCTAAAACCTAATCATTTTACGAGTTTTTCATTACATTGAACTAATGCAAAATTTGTCCCTTTGCAACTTTGTTCTATTGTGTTCTTGGGGCCAAGCAGAATGATCTCATCTTCTTTCTACATGATGGTCTTCCCACTCATTAAAGACAGTTATCCATTCTGCAGGCTTTCACGAACTGTATCTTGAAACTCTCTGATGATTTTGGGTATAACGGGTCCAAACTACAATTTATGAATAGGAAGATGGATCTAACTGCCAAGTTCCAAGTTGGCAAATGCAACAGGCTTCTGTAAGCTTTTGTTTTCCTGCTACAAAACACCTTTCAGGCTGTCTAGGCTGGCATTTGTGTGTAATATAAATCACTTACCTTCATTGGCAAAAGTCAACAATGATGCATATGTGGGAAATCTAATTAAGGCTCTTAAAGGCTCAGTCATATTTTTCATTCCAATGATTTCTCAATGGTAATCAGGGATCAAGGCCATACTTTTCCCTTCCTCTAGAGCAGAGGTATCAAACATGCTGCTGTCACTGGGCTGGCCACATTGCACCTCCCCACTCCCAATTCCCAATGTAGCCAGAAGCAGATTAAAATATAATTGGGTAATATTTAACAAAATAAATAAAAACACAATGGAACATAGATAATTCTTAATATATGGGTTTCTCAGACAATATGAGGCTAGCAGGGAGCCTTATGTTTGGTTTGTGTGTTGTTTAGTCATTTTTCAGTCATGTTAGACTCTTTGTGACACCTTTTCTTTTGGGGGGGTTGGCAAAGATAACTGGAGTAGTTTGCAATTTCCTTCTCCAGCTCATTTTACAGATGAGAAAACTGAGGTAAAGAGGGTTAAGTGACTTGCCCAGGGTCACACAGCTAGTAAGTGTCTGAGGCCACATTTGAACTCAGGAAGATGAGTCTTCTTGACTTCAGGCTTGACACTTCACCTATTGTGCCACCTGGTTGTCCAAATCTGTGATCTATGTTTGGTCAAATCTTCCCTTGGGATGGTTGCATGGGGGCCTTCTTAGTTAACTCTCATTTCTTCTGACCAATTTTATCAGATGGAACTGGGAGACTGGTCCTGCTTCTAATGTAACCAAAGTTATTACAATAATAGTTCATCATCTCAGCACTCTCTGGTTCATGGTTCCATGGTTCATATACTACAAAGTCACTCCCTTTAATTACCACTTCCTACTGTGTCATTTGTAACATGTTGGAAATAGTTTCAGCCCTCCTCCCCCCTTACACTGCAGTCAGTAATGTGCAAAGATCCTTGGCATGCCCCATACTCCCAAATTTGATGATCCTGTATCCAAGCATTAATGTACTTTAATAGGCAGGTTTTCCTATTTTTAACTCACAGAACATGTCAAATGCAGGTACTCTGACACTCTAGCAGTTTTCTAGGAAATATATCTGATGCCTGCCACTTCTGTAGAACTCAGTAACATTTTTACCATCAAGGACTCAAATTTCTCCTTTCCTTTTAGGGGAGGAGTATGTCCAGGTACTAAGTGCCACTTCCTGTAGAGACTCCATTAAGGATGCAGTTGTTTCTGTCTCAGAACTTGTTCAAAGACCTGGGCCTATACTTTTGGTGAAACAGGATGTTTGGGACTAGAGGAACCCTATTCTAAGAATTTCACCATTTTTGGTAGCTATGTTCCTCTAGATAGTTCAATTTTTTTTCTTATGAACTCATGATCAACAGTAGGTGATTTTGTCATTATTTTCTAGGCAATCTCCTCTCCAAGTATCTCTCTAAGGAATTTGGGAAGTTCTGCTGTCTTAGGAAACTCACATACAGCAGAATTTATGCTGTCCTCCCCCCATAAATGCTTTTACCAAACATTTTATACAGGCCCAGAAATGCCAGAGTACTACATAAGACCTATTTAGTGGTGTTTTCATGACAATTCATGGGTATTCCCCAAATTAATAGTACTTTGTGTAGGTCTGCAACCTCTTAAGCCCACTATTTCTCAAAAAATGGAGAAACTATTCCATAGTTCACCCTCAAACTAGAGTGAATTATACTTTAGGCTCTGAAGCCGAAAGAATTCCTTAATACTTGCAAGGAGTGTCATGAAGACTCAACTATTGCAAATGCAGAGGATATATATGTAATATCTGGGGATATCCTCCAATGTCCAGGTTGGGTTCCCCTGAAGATGACTACCCCAGGTTCAAAGTATTCTATGGGATCACACTCCTGAGTCCCTGTTGATGGGTTTCATTCAATAATTAACCCCGAGAATACAATTAGCTCAAAGCAAAGGCACTTACTAACAACAGTGGCAGCAAAGCATCTCCTCCACAAACATGGAATATAGTCTCCCATAAATATACCCAACATCATTGGAAAACATGTGTGGCCAGGACTTTTTGCAAGGATCATGGTTTTGATGAAGTAGGGCTGCCAATGTCTTCACATTGCTCTCAATGACCTTGGCCTTTAGTCACTACCAGATGCTGTTCCACTGGACGTTGCTGGACACTTCATATATGTAATCTTCACCACCTCAGGTGCTTGTTCTGCAGGAATCTTTACCCTAGGACCAGTGGGAAATTTTTCCAATTCTGATCTCTCAAAGTCTTGGATTCTAGCTCCAGACACCAAGCCCTCCCTCTTCTTGCCTCTCTTGTCACAAAGGCTGGGGTTCAAGAAGCAATGTCTTGACTTCTCATCTTAGGGTTTGTGAAAGCATATGCCTCTTATGGTCTTGTGTTTCTAACACAGATGCTATGGCAGGTAGGGGAGGGAGGGAGAAGGAAAAATACTTCCCTTCTTTGTTCCACACTGCTAAAGATACAAGTGGAGAGGTAAAGAAGGAGTCCTCCAAGGCTCAGTCTTTCCTCTAGAGTGGACTCTCCAGGTCACTTTCCAAAGTCAGGCTGTCTTGCTTTTTGTAGTGCCAAAAGGTGTGACTGATCCTCAAACACACCACTCAAGTTCACTGCATACCATCAACTGGCTTCATTAAATGTCTGATATATACTCTATTATGTTATCAGGTTGTTTAGGAAATTCTTTTACACTTCTTATTTTGGACTAAGAAAACTCCCCAGTTTCATCATGAAGTACTCTGAATCAATCAATAAACATTTATTAAGTGACTATTTCATGCCAGGCGATGTGCTAAGTACTGGGGATATAAAAAGAAGAAAAGACCTTACCAAGAAGAGGCTCATAATTGAATGGGGGAAATAAAATGTAAATAAATACATACAAAGCAAGCTTTATAGAGAATAAATAGGTTTAAAAAAATAACAGAGGGAAGACACCAGAGGAGTTGATGAAGTCTGTCAGTTAAAGAAGGGATTTTCTCTGGGACTTAAAGGAAGCTGGGGAGCTTAGTAGGCAGAGAGAAAGGAGAGTCTACCTTCCTACATGTGCTTACATGCAGTCTCAGATGAACCCTTTCTCCCAAATGGAATCATTTTGAACAAGCCTCTTACACCTTCCAAATTCTCCTTGGAAGGATTTTAGTATTTATCTTGGCTTATAGCTAAACAAATACATGCATGGTGTTGTCCATTAAGAGGCAGCTAGCTCGCTACTTGCAAGTATATGATTCAATACAACGCAGGAGAATGTTTCATTGGAAGGAAGAGAAAACAAAACAGAAGCCCTTGATGAGCAATGAGTCCAAAAGTCACTACTTTAAGGACTACAGCCCCAAATTAAAGAGATCTGCTAGATCCTGAACACTCTCTCTCTCTCTCTCTCTCTCTCTCTCTCTCTCTCTCTCTCTCTCTCTCTCTCTCTCTCTCTCTCTCTCTCACACACACACACACACACACACACACACACACACACACACACACCCTTTTTCTTGTCAATCCTCTGATCTCTAACAATAGAAAGGGATGTGGCATTATTTTTCTCTCTCCCTATTCAACTTTGTGCTCTTCCTTACAGCTATCTCAGGCTCAGTAATTCACAAGACTTTTCACTGACTTATAAGATTTAATGCTGGAAGAGATCTGAAACCTCACCTAGTCCAACATCTTTATTTTACAAATTAGTAGTCTAAAACACAAGCAGGATAAATAATTTATCCAAGAACACAAAGTAAATAACAAAGCAAAAATTTGGGCCCAGTTGTAGTGTTTTTCCTACTCTACTTCACTTCCTCTTGAGCAAAGAAATTCTTTAAGATTTTCCTGTCTTTCGATATGAGTTTCTCCATGCAAGATGAGGGTAAGATCTCAATAGTTTTCTTTTTCTTTCTAGGTACCAATGCTCTGCTCATTCCCCTTTTCCCCTTAATAGTAGAGGAGGAAACATGGCTTTGAGTTAAGGAACATAAGTTTGAGTCCAGACTCTGCTATTTGCTATCTGTGCAACCACAGACAAATCACATCCCCTTCCTTACCCTCAGTTTCCTCATTTGAGACATGAGAGGGTTGGATGAGATAACCTTGAAGGTCTTTTTCCAGTTCTCAAACTCTAATGATCCCAAAACACTTTGAACGATCTAACACATACATGGATAACTTCACATGAATATTAATTTTTTTGATAGGTACACTAATGAATGGTGGTAGAGTAGTGAATTCAACCATTCTGGAGAACGATTTGGAACTATGTCCAAAGAGCTATAAAACTGTGTATACCCTTTGACCCAGTAACAACACTACAAGGTGTGTATCTGAAAGAGATCCAAGAAAAAGGAAAAGGACTTATGTGTCCAAAAATATATCAGCTCTTTTTGTGGTGGCAAAGAATTGGGAATTGAGGGGATGCTCATCAATTGAGGAATGGCTGAACAAGCTGTAGCATTTAAGTGTGATGGAGCACTATTGTGCTATAAGAAATGATGAGGCATGGGTAGTTTGAGAAAAATATGTCGAGAACTATATGAACCGATGCAAAGCAAAGTGAGAAGAACCAGGAGATCATTGTGCACACTAACAGCAATGTTGGAATGATGATCAGCTGTGAAAGATTTGGCTACTCTGATCCAAGACAATGATCTAAGACAATTCCAAAGGATTCATGATGAGAAAAAACATATATATTCTCTCCCTTTAGAGAAAGAACTGATGAACTCAGAGTGCAAAATGAAGTACAATTTTCTCACTTTCATATTTTTCTTCCTTTTTAAATAAATGGGCTAATGTGGAAATATGTTTTGCAGGATTTCACATGTATAATTGATATTGTATTGCTTGCCTTCTCAGTGGATAGTGAAAGAAGTGGAGGGAGAAAGAGAATTTAGAACTTAAAATTAAAAAAGAAAGACATGTTAAAAATAAATAATTTTTAACAAGAAAAAATACTTATTTTTCTATATTGCTATGACAGGCAGATTGGTGAAAGAACTTAGCATCAGCACTTGGATGACAAGGAGCAACTAGACACTGAGAGATCAATTAGGAAGCTATGATGACAGTCCAGAAGATATAAAAATGAAATTATGTAACTCATGTGAATTACTAATAAAATTATTATAAACTCTTTGAAAATAAATATTTTATATTAAATACACTATTTTAGAAACTTACCCTGAGTATGGTGTCTCCTTTGATCCATGACACTGAAGGCTTGGGATTGCCCATTGTGGTACATGGCAAGACTGCCTTTAATCCCTCTATTATTTTTACGTTGATAGGAGGACGTGTTATTTTAGGCTCTACAAGGAAAAAGGCCCAAACCAAGAACTGAGTATTTTATAGATATTAAAACAGAATAAATGTTTACAATACAGTAAATTTAGTGTCCATTCACATTTATAGTCCAGGTAGAATAATTTAAAAGATCAAAATGTTTTTTATCAGTAGTCATGTAATTGCAAATACTTTCACAAGCAATTCTGAAACATTCTTGAGGTATTAAATTTCCAAAAGTTAAATGTTAATTTAACCCACAGAAATTAGTGTTATAAGAGAAGTAAATTATTTTTTAAATGTTATTAAGTGGTTGTTGGGCTAAGCAAAACTGAGGAAAAAATTTAATTATGAATTAGTGATTAGACACTTTGTGATTTTTTTTCACTTGTCAAAGGACTCACTGAAGAAAGCAGCTTCCTTATGTATTTTATTTTTAACTAAATTATTAAATGATTAAAATTAATATTGAGCATAAATACAATTAAAATTGCTTTAGCAAGTAATAGCTTTAGCTTAATAAGCTTCAGTAAATATCACAATGAAATTTTTTTGTCACTCTCTCTGAGCCTCCATTAGGGATTTTTGTTTGTTTACTTATTCCCATTCACTTTTATTCTTTCATGCCAAATATTTCTCTTTACTTTTTCATACTTGCTGGACTTAATGGCTTTATAGTATTCAATTAAATAAGCCTCATTTTATTTAACTATTTCCCAATTGTTGGGTATTTAGATTACTTCTGAGTTTCTAAAATTATATTTTATACTGTTGTAAAATCTGTAAATAGCTGTCTCTCTTTCTCCCTCTCTCCTTACGTCCCTCTTTTATGACATCCTACGACACTTTTCAGTATACGTTTCAAACAATGGAATTACTGGATCAAAGATTATTTTTGTAACTTTTACTCTATACTACCAGCTTGTCCTCCAGAAAAATCCTGAGAGTTTTCAATCTCATCAGCAATGAAAGAGCATTTTCCCACAACCGTGCAAGCACTGAATTTCATGGCTTTTCAATATCTTTGTCTTGATGTATGCTAAATTACCAATTTTGAAACACACAGTCTACATACAGCTTGTCCCAGGATACACTTACAATGTAAAGCATCATGCACTCACAAAGAGCCAAATAATATCAGGTATATAATGGGATTTTGCCTTTGATTTTTTAAAATTGCAATTAAACTAATTTACTGAAAAAAGCTGAAATGATTTTATGCTGGATGATAAACTAGACTGTGAGCTCCTTGAGAATAAGGATTTTTTCTCTTCTTTATCTTTAGTGCTTAACACAGTTCTTGGCACTAGTAGACACTTGATAAATGCTAGCTGACTGGCTAATAACACTTCTTGACAGCATTTTGTACTTTTCATTTTCACAAGTATTGTCACAGAGTTTTAGAAGTAAACGGCACCTGTGTCATATACATATAGAATCATAAACTTGGAGCTAGAACCTTAGAGGCAGCATGTTCTAGTGTAATAAATATTGGACTTGAAGTTAGGAGACAAGTTCAAATTACAATGCATAGTTATTAGTGGGGCAGCTAGGTGGAAGAGGGAATAGAGTACTGGGGTCTGGAATCAGAAAGACCTGAGTTCAAATCTGATCTCAGACACTTACTAATTTTGTGACCCTGGGCAAATCACTTAACCCTGTTTGCCTCAGTTTCCTCATCTATAAAATGAGCTGGAGAAGGAAATGGCAAACCACTCCAGTATCTTTGCCAAGAAAACCCCAAATGGGGTCACGAAGAGTCAGACAGGACTGAAACAACTGACCACCACCAACAAAAAGTTATTAGCTGTGTGACCATGGGTAAGTAAATTAACCTTAATGTGTCGAGTATGGATAATATTTAAAGTTATCCCTTCCACACTGAGACTTTCCCATCACTGTTCTGATATATCATGGATCAGCATAAGAAATTAAATGGTAATTATTTTTTGGGGGGTTTTATGGAAGCCACAGACAACACACAAAGGCCAGCAGATGACACAGAAAAAGTTTAGAAACTCAGAACATATTTTATCTTTTAATACCATGATAATTCAGACTTCTTCTCTAGTATGAAGGGAGGGCTAAAATTTTTTAATGTAGATTTCCCAGATTGGTGGTGAGGGGGGGGGGGTGCACCATGACCCTAATCCATGCTATGTGGAAGGGATAACTGTATATGAATTGTATCACAAGACTGACATGAAGAAAGCACTTGAAAAACCTTAACGCATTATGTAAATATGTTTTTGATACAGTGGATTTCTTCACATGGAAGTTTCCTATAAAAGTTTCCACATGGAAATCATAGATCAAATCCCTGTTACTATGCCTATTATTATTAGAAGTTACATAGTTTAATCCCTTCCTTTTAAAATAATTTTAATGATGAACAATCTAAAGTTTAGTAAAATGAAGCAACTTGTTCAAATTACAACTAAACAACTAATGAGAGGCAGAGCTGGAACCTTTGACCCCAGATTTATCACTGTCCATCACATCATACTGCTCTACCATTCTACTTTATAGATAAGCAACCGGAGGCCCAGAGAGAAGTGATTTACCTTAAGTCACACAGTTATCAGTAGGCAGAACTAGGATGAGAAGCTGGGTCTCCTGACACCTAGCCCAGAGTATTCTCTAAGATGTCAAAGGAGCTCATTTGATCCTTTAAAATAATTTTGTGGGGCAGCTAGGTGGCCTAGTGGATAGAGCTCTGGCCTTGGAGTCAGGAGGACCTGAATTCAAACATGGCCTCAGACACTTGACACTTACTACTTACTAGCTGTGTGACCCCAGACAAGTCACTTAACCCTGATTGCCTCACCAAAAGGGAAAAAAATAAAATAAAATAATTTTGTGAGGTTGGGCAGGCAGTATACCCAGGTTTACAGCAGCTTCAGCCAAAACTCAGTGAAGTTAAAGAATTTGTCCAACATTAGCTATTGACAGCATCTCCACTCCAACCCAGTTCTTCTGATATCTTATCCAGGGTCTTTTCAAGTATAATATAATTAGAATAAAATTTCGTACAGGGAGGGGAAGGTTTTGCAAAATGATTCTTTGAGTGGGAGTGGAGAAGGAAAATGCAGTTATTAAGCACCTACTTACTAGGGCAGCTACATGGCACAGTGGATAGAGCACCGGACTTGGATACAAGAAGACCTAAGTTCAAATCTGGCCTCAGATGCTTACTAGCTTTGTGATCCTGAACAGGTCACTTAACCTTGTTTGCCTCAGTTTCTCATCTGTAAAATGCACTGGAGAAGGAAATGGCCAGTATCGTCGCCAACACAACCCCAAATGTGATGACGAAGAGTTGGACATGCCTGAAAAACAACTCAGCAAGGTACCTACTATGTGCCGGGCACTGTGCTTTGCCCTTTACAAATTATTATATCATCTGATTGTCACAATAACCCTAGGAGGCAAGTACCATCATTGTCTCTATTTTATAGTCAAGGAAACTTGGAAACAAGCAAATGGAGCTTAAGTGACTTGCCCAAGGTCACACAGATAAGAAGATCTGTGACTGAATTTAAATTCAGATCTTCCTTACCCCAGGAAGGGGCAGCTAGGTGGCACATTTGGTAGAGAGCTAGGCCTGGAGTCAAGAAGACTCATCTTCTTGAGTTCAAATCCAGCCTCATACACTAACTGTGTGACCCTGGGCAAGTCACTTAACCCTGTTTGCCTCAGTTTTCTCATCTATAAAATTAGCTGGAGAAGGAAATTTTGCCAGTCTTTGCCAAGAAAACCCCAAAGGGGGCACAAAGAGTTGGACACGACTGAAAAAAGACTGAAAAGCAACTTCCTGACTCCAAGCCCAGCACTCTATCCATTGTGCCAAAATGAAACTGTTTTAATACATTTGGAGAAATTAATTGACTAGTTAATTAATTAATTAATGAAATTACTATGTGACAGGCACCGTATTGAGAGATGGCTCCATAACACACTGGCTGTCAACCTCCCAAAGGCAATTTTCTACCAATGATCACGTAACATGAGCTGTAGAGTGGTAAAGAGATTGCCCAGTTAAAAATGCCCATTAGAATAACATGCACAAGAGAATCTTTGTGGGAACTACACTGTGTTTCTTTTATTTCACTCTAGACTTTCTTACGTTACTAAAACATAATGAAAGACTGTCTTCGAAGAATGGGCTATTGTGAGGGGGGATGCATGTCATTTCTTTCACGGGCTGCTCCCTTATCTACTTGCCATTATCACAGAAATAGGACAAAGCTAAGGACTCCCTCAAAGATGACTGAATGAGGTGCTTTTATGTTTGAACATGGAGCACAGCCTAGTGGATTTTCACCAGTGGATGTATCCATCATAACTAAATTCTATTTCCAAGGACAATTTCTTTTGGCGCTATACCATCCAACTTAGACTGTTCTTCCAATTATTTTCCCTTCACCCAAGTCCCATGATTTCTAGTTCAGTGCTGTTTACAATACAACATCCAGTGTTGTGTAATGGAAAAGGAACCAACTGTTGCTGAGTCATGTTTGTCATGTATGACTCTCTGTGACCCCATTTGGGATTATCTTGGCAAAGATACTGCAGTGGTTTGCCATTTCCTTCTCCAGCTCATTTTACAGATGAGGAAATTGAGGCCAGATTTGGATTCATGAAGATGAGTCTTCCTGACACCAGGCTGGATACTTTATCTGCTGTGCCACCCAGCTGCCCTAAAGGAACTAGACTTGGTATCAAAAGCTTCAAGAGTCCCACAAAGTCATTTTTTTACCTACCTCTACCTCGGCTTCATCAGCTACAAAACGAAGACAGTATCTGCCAGCATCGACTCCTCAGAGCTACTACAGTGATAAAATCAGATACACTATGTATATATATTTTAGGGAAGGAACTATGCAAATATATAGTTCCATTAACTTGTTTAATGAAACAAAAGGACTCCAAAGCAGCAGCTTTGAATGGGAATGAATATCATTTGTCACAAGTGGGCCAAATCATATTTTAGTTTTTGTATGCCGAATGAAACCCAAAATAACTTGGAAACTTCCTGGATTTCAGAAGTTGTGATTTTACTTATCATAAAATCCTAGACTCTTTGGGCTGGAAGGGAGCTTAGAAATGGTGATAGTAAAAACCCTACTTTAAAGCATGAACCACACCTACTTTGTCTACATCTAGTTGTCACTGCAAGATACCTTTATGAAAATGTTTTAAATGGGTCAATTTTCTACTAAAAGTACTATGGAGACTGAATTACTGGGCAAGCAAAGGTTAATAGTGTTTTTAAAACTGAATAGTTCGCAATATAGTAGACTTTTTTTTAAAAAAATCTAGGAAAGTTATGACTTTTGGTCTAAAGGTCTTCCTATCACTTTTAGTTAATTAACTTATTTATTGATTAATATTTTAATTGGTGGTACTTACTCATTTTTACTTGCAAGGCTCCACAACTCTCAGCAGCAACTCCTACTCCGTTGTTGGCGGTACAGCAGTACACACCGTCATCACTGTCTTCCACACTCAGAATGGTTAGAAGCTGTCCATTCTCTCGAATACTATATCGAGTATCAAAGAGTCTGAAAAACAGGCAGATTGGATTAAGAAGAATCTATATTCTTTTGTATTCAATGAAATTCAACCAAAGTTATTAAGTGCCTGCTGTGATAACGATAAAAATAATACTAACAATAATGATGATGGCTAACATTTATGTAGTGCTTACCACATGCCAGGCACTGTGCTAAGTGCTTTACAATTACTGTCTTATGTGATCCTCACAATAACCTTCAGATGTAGGTGTTGTTATTATACCCATTTTATAGATAAGGAGACTGAGGCAGAGGTTGTGACTTGTCCAGGATCATGTATCTAATAAGTGTCTGAGTCCATAGTTGAACTCTGGTCTTCTTGACTCTAGGACCAGGGCTTTATCCACTGTACCAATCTGCTGTTCCTAAATATTATGTACGAGAACACTGCGCTCTGGTGCTTAGAGAAATCCAAAATTAATTTTGCCCTCAGAGCTTATTATCTTAAAAAAAGGCTTGGGGCAGCTAGGAAGTACAGTGGATAAAGAGCTGGGCCTGAAGTCAGGAAGACCTGAATTCAGATCCAGCCTCAGACACTTAACTAGCTGTGTGACCCTGGGCAAATCACTTAACCTTGTTTGCCTCAGTTTCCTCATCCATAAAATGAGCTGTAGAAGGAAATGGCAAACCACTCCAGTATCTTTGCCAAGAAAACCACAAATGGGAGAGTTGGACATGACTGAAAAAACTGAATGACAACAGAAAGGCTACAACATACGCATAAATAATACATAGTAGATTGTAACTTATATTTAAGAGAAGATTTAGGGGCTGAGATTGTAGTGGCATTTTTTTTTAACCTTCAGAGTGTTTGAAGAGATGTTGGGTATAAGAAAGATCAGATTTATTTCAATAGGTTCTAAAGGGCAGAGCTAGGAATAATTGGTAGAAATTCTAGGAAGTAAAATTTAAATATAAAAAATACAAAAATTCCTAATAGTGAGAGCCACTTAAAAATAGAATAAGCTGCCTTACTAGGTAGCCATTTTTATCATCACTGGAGAGTAAAGAAGCTTGATGACCATTTTCTGTGAGGGATGTTATAAGGGATTGATGCTATAGGAAGGGGTTGGACTCAATGACTTCTGAGGTTCCCTTCGTGCTCTGAAATTCTAAGACTCTAAACAGAACCTAATAAGTTTACTGCAAGACTGGAAGAAGTCCAAAAGACTTATGATAAAGGTTCACTAATACCTTAAAAAAGAGAATTCTTCCTTTGCCTATTTTTAAAGAAAACTCATTGAGAAAAGTGTCATCTGGAAAACCACTTTCCAATTGCCAATGTGGTCTCTGGCAAATTTTTACTCGTCCACAAACTTTTACTTCCAAAAGATCTTTATTTCTTACAACCAATAAAAATAAAAGCAAAACAAAACAAAACAAACAAACAAAACAACCCTTGTTTTTTTTTTTTTCAGAATAGTCTGAACTACACCCTCACTCACTGAGGTCAATATGAACACCCTCTAACTTTCAATTAATTGGTGGGTTGAGAGGTCATGGTGACCACATACCAGCAAGAGAAAGATGACTCACCATGACTAATCATGTTCTATGACCCTGATGTAAGAGTGAAAATTATAGAAGTGACCACAGGAAATAAAGCACACAGTCACTTCTTTATTTGCCAGAAGCCCAGAGCAGCCAAAAAAGTTGTCTCTGGGCTTAAATGAAGTTCATATATAGTCCGCCTTAGTTAAAAAATGTTTTAGTAATAATAGATTGAACCCAGAGATATTTGCAATTGGTGTGAAGAGACATCATCAGATGGTGTAACTTAGAATAATAGACTTAGACAGGAAAGGAACCTTCAGGGTCATGTAGTCCAACTTCCTCATTTTATAGTCACGTGAGGAAACTTAAATAGAGGAAATGGTCCACCCAAAGTCACACTTGAACCCTCTAATTCCAAATCCCAGACTTTCCACTGCACCGTGCTCCTTCCCCACCTTTCTTTCTTTATACTGGTTTGTTGATTGTTAAGGGGAAGAGTTTAAAAAATTAGTTAATAACATAAACCTGAAATATTTTAAAGTTAAAAACATTGAATTTGACAGTTTTAAAGATCAAGATTTATAGCAAAGTTCATCAATTTTTCAATACATTTTTACCTACACACAAATTGTATCTGAGTCTTCAATTCGTCTAATAAACTCAAACCCATTTAGGGAAAATTTTAACAATTTGGTTGAGATTTTTATACGAAAATTATAAAATGTTCCCTCAATTCCCTAAATTCTCCAAATCATCAGAATTAAATATGAAAACCTATGCATGAATTAATGCAAATCCTTGGCAGTACTTTATTGAATCCATATTAGTAATCCACATTTGTGGATTATTAATCTATTTATAAATCCCCAACTCATGGATATTGAAAAAGAAAAGTTATAGAACTATATTCAGATTCTAGATTATAAGAAATATTTAATTCAAGGAATATAACTGGATATGGTAGTAAATGTTTGACAATTGCATTTGGAGGGGGTGAGAATTGTATGCAAAGCACACTTTTAAATTTAATCTGCATTACTAACGTTGCCTCCATTGTTTTCTTGTTTAGATAATCAATGAAACTACAAAGCAAAATCTGATCTGTAGCACTATTTCTGAGGTATATGTGCTCATTCTGAAAACTTAGCAACTGCGTTTTGGAACCCATGTCAAGCTTACTCTAGTATACCCCTGAATATTACCCAGCTTGAGACAAAAGTAAAGGCAAACTACCTAGATCCCTACAAAAAGGTAAAAATGAAACATTTTTAAACATTTTCAACCATTATCTGAAACAATATTTTCAATACTGACAAAAATAAAATGGGGGGAAAAAAGTATCATTTAGTATCTGGCCCTGCCATAATCACATTTCAAGCTCCGCTCCTCCTTGTCTTCTCACTTTGAGAAAGAAACAAAACTAATAACACTGATTACTTTCCATTTATATGACATATTTAAAAAAATTAGAGGTAGCATGTCTTAGTAAACAGAGTTTGCCTTCGAGTCAGGAAGAAGGGTTCAAGTCCTGCCACTGATACATGCTACCTATGTGACCTTGGATAAGTCATTTAATTACTCTGTGTCCCAGACAACTCTCTAAATCTTAGAAACCTATAAGATTATAATTTGCAGACTAGTTGCTGATTTTCATGGGTAGAGAGAGTTTCCTCACTTGGAGTTTCTTATACCATTGAAGTCACAGGTCTAGGCACCTCCCTCCCCACAAAGTGATATGATTATTTTGCATGATAGTCAAATATCTGTCCTTAGACTATTTTTATGTTTGTGTTTATTTCCATGGTAATGGTTTTACATACATACACATACATACATACATACACACATACATATTTGTGTCTAATAGTAACCATCTCTAGGGCAAGGGGGGAAGAAAAAAAGGGAAAAAAAGGAAAGTTATGTGATAACTTTATTATATATTTAAAAGGAATACCAAGTTGTACATACTAGATTTTCAGTTTCATGTGCAATTTTTCTCTCTGTTCTACTATGTTTTGAAAATGCTTGTTTTATTTCTGAAGTTCAGGATAAAATTTTTTAAAATGTTGATTTAAATAATTTTTAAAGTGTTTATTCCACAATTTCATAAATAAATATACACATATATATAGTATATATCCGGTATCAATGATTTCACCCATGTTGCTTCTCACACTACTGATATCAACTGCAATCATTCCACACGTTAGTACAGTTTAGTGAATTGCTATCCTTGCTGACTGGTGTTAACCACCACTCCCCCAACACCTCCAAGAGGATCCACCTTTTGATTAGTTTTCCAAACTTAGTAAGGTTGGTCCTTGTACAGAAGATGCACAGTCAATCTAGCAAAGGGTGTGCATTTAGAACCTATTCAACTGAGTAGGAGGAGCTGCATGAGCTGACGTTCCTTGAGTGATTCTATAAGAACCCAGGTCATAAGAATCTAGGTCATGAAGAAGCATGGAAGCAAAACTCTAAAGGAAGAGACAGCCAGCTAGCTATAGATATCTGTGGTTTAGATCTGTGACTACATTGGTACGAAGAGCTTCTACTGAGGAGACTAGCCAAGTAGTATGTATATATCAGGCACCAACATATTTTTAAACTTTATTTTTATTCTAAACAACAAAAATTAAATAAAACTGACATTTGCATACAGAAGTAGAACAGATAAAGAAGACTGTACATGAAACTACATACACATCTATATTATTTTCAGCTTGTGTTTCTTTTAAAATCGATGAGTTCATCCTGTAGCTTTCAAAACTGTCCTAATGGTCTGTGCTTGTTTCTTATTTTTTCTTCTGGGATTTTTTGTCTATATTAAAAAAAGATGCCTCAATAACCCTCTTTTATTTTTATTTTCTTCCCCCTCCCCCCCTTTTTTTTGCTATTCTACTTCTATTCTCTCTTGTGCTTCCTCTGTCTCCCTCTCCTCTTCCCAACGCCTTTTATTAATTCATACTGTTTCTTTCTAACTCTAATCACAATCCAATCTCACAAGGTTGTTATGAGGAAAATACTTTGTAAGTCTTAAGACCTATACAATTTTGAGAGCTAATGTGACAGCAGTGATCCAGTCTTGCAGTCAAGAAGACTTCAATTCAAGTCTGGCCTTTGGGACATACTAGCTATGTGACCCTGGGTTAATCACCTAACTTCTCAGTGCTTTAGGCTATTCTTTGAAACTGTAAGTTCCAGAGAAGGTATAGACTTGAATTGATAGTTTCTCTACCCTACAAAGCAATTAAGTGGTACAGTAAATACAGCTTTGGACCTGGAGTCAGGAAGACCTGAGTTCAAATCCAGTCTGAGATACATACTAACTGTGTGACCCTGGGGAAATCACTTAACCTCTTTTTGCCTCAGCTTCCTCAACTGTAACTTAGAGATAACAATGGCACCTTTCTCTCAGGGTTGTGAGAATCAAATGAGATGCTATTTGCAAAGCACTCTTCTATAGCCCCATCTGGTTTACAAAGTGCTTTTCT